ATCTGAAACAGGGTAGGATCAATACCTCAGCCGTGAGTGATCATTGTTTTAACGCTGTGGGCACACACGCAATTGATTTTTCGAAAACGAAGGTACTCTGCAAACTCACTGGCTATTCAAGATTCGTTCACGAAGCCATCCAGATATATAAACACAGACACAATTTCAACCAAGAAGATGGGTACAAACTGAACCAGTTTAAGTCATAACTGGCTGTGATGTTTCCATCCTACCTGCCGATGTTAGCAGTTATTTCTGACTCTCTGAGTTACATTACCAGGTTAAATGTCTTTACATTAACAGGCTAAACGTGTCACTAACACAGCCACCGTTGCGGTGGTTGTTCTCTTACATTGACATGCTAATCTCTCACAATACAATGGCCACCTCCACAGCTTTGTTTTCCTCGATGTGGTGGCGCGCCCGGTTTTCTTACATTGACATGCTAATCTTACATTAACAGATTGACATGCTAATCTCTCACAATACAATGGCCACCTCCACAGCTTCGTAGTCGTGGAGGTATATCAGCTCTCCGATCTTACATTTACACGCAAATTCCATCTCTATCCCCGCCCACTTACCCTTGGGTTACACCCATCTCAAACCTCTATAACATCCTGCTTCAGCAGCTCTCCCACTATATTTTTTCACCTGATGACGATTGCTTGTGTTGCGATCAAAACGTGATTTTTTTTTATATCTACGTGGCTTTACCAAAAGACCCAAAGAATGAGAACTATTTATCCCTGTGGAGCTGGTTAAACAAAATAACATCCACATCATAGTCTCAACTTCCCCACTGTCCGTTAGCCATTCTAATCGTTGCCGAGAGAGCTCAATGAGCTACCTCATTCAACGTGATTTTGAGCTTTGCTATAAAAACACATAAACCATAATTTCGGTGACATTTACAATACTATTTGTACATCGTAATGTCGACTACTTCTGCCTAAACTCAAAAACAGATGCAGAACTCTGCAGGACTTCGTAACCAAGTGCAGAGAATATTTAAAACAAGTTACCGTTTATCAAATTAAGAAAATACAGCGAAACTGTTCTTTTCCCCTCTCCTATCACCTGGTATTCCTATTTTTCATGCCTCGAAAATGATCCATAAACAAAATATCTCACCCATACGTTCATCAATGTTTTGTGTTCCTATCATCTGCATTTATCCACGGATAAGAGGAATAACTCACAAGCAGCAGATGAGATTGGGCACTTTCTGGGCGATTTTGTTAGAGGAAACGTGTTGTGTTGAGCATTAACAAATGTTGTTCCCAACGAAATGGATATGCAACCATGTCACCCAGAGTCGTGTTTCTGTTGCGTGAACCCAAAAAAACCACGACTGCCCTTTTTCCCACCATCTCCAAAAACAAACATGGTTAATGTCACACCAGGGTGCACTCAACCTAGCCCCCCCCCCCACCCATGCACTGCATTTCATCAAAATGTACATTCGACTCAGGGGAAATGAGCTGGGAACTGCTGCTAAAAGATGCGATGACTGCGCAACAGGAAATGGAACAAAACAAATCTGCCCAAACACCGAGAAGAGAGTTTGACAACATGATCGACTTCAACATTTGCAACTGAAAACAAAGCATTTCTCACAATATTGTATGACGTAAAGACATCCAAGTGGTTCTGATAAAGTTACCAAATGTCCTGGAAAGGCCAGGACAGTCCTGGTTTTAGAAAGACTATCCCCGTCTCCCAAAGTGTTTGTGAACATGAGGAATTTCTCCCCGTTTGAAATGTTCTCGTCTCAAGCTCGACTCATAATTGTGGAAATTCCACATTACGATCGCACTTTTGGCGACATGGCATTCCTATGGTACTATTGGACATCTTTGAAAGGGCTTTATAGCTCATCGGATTCCTCTAGTAAAATTATTCTGATTCTGACATCGTTTAGAGGGGAGAAGCTTACGATCGAGTGCAATCCTGGTGGTGCTCAACTAATCACTTTATTTTTTCAGAGTGAATAAACTAAGTACCACTTTGTGGGAAGTCAACAAAGGTGTGTGACAGGTTGTGGTAAAATGGGTTTATGAAGGAGTTTAAAATCGGTGTGGAGATTACACTGTAACCTCAACGATAAGTACTATCTTCCACATACCTGCCATATGCATATGTCATGTATGTAAGCATGTATTATTTTCAAATACTCATGAATACAACTGGATAAATATCCAAAAGCACGATCTTTCTGAAAATGAGTCAGAGACTAAGTAAGGTTTTACTGGGTGAACAATTGTTGCAATTAATTTTTAAAATTAGTGCTAAGGGTCTTCGAGATTGGTGTTATCGAAAAGTCTGTGAGCTTGAACTCCTGTGCTCATGGAAACAAATCATCCTCTACTTGACCCACTTTCCATAAACGTGTCGATTTTAATTTTAGAATCTGTGCCAAATGCCACCAGGGTGACATACAAAACGAGAATCAAAACAACTCCCACTTGGGAAGTAGTAGGGCAGCTCTGGGGGCAAATGGTGTGTCCGGTCACTGACTCAGCACTGGGAACAATTCTCGGTTTAAATTCTGTGTTTCAGTCACCCATGATTTAGCCGGGATATCAATTGGTAGAGAGTTTATGGCCAACTTATTTTCCAGCCAGTTTGACAATCCACTGCTGGATGCACGGTATTTATGTTTAACTTCTTTCGCACCGTACGTAGCCAACCGTGCTAATCGGAGGTGCGGGGAAAGGACAACACTCGACACAAAAAGCTGTTTTAAAGAAATGATTTTCAATCTATATTTCAAGTTCAAAGTTCCAGTGGCTTCCGAATAGCGTCCCCACAGCTTCCACACCGCTGTGTCGATCATGGAGGTTGTTTCACCATACTTGACCATGCTAGGTCAATGCGTGTTGTGTGAATCAGGGCAGGGGGAAGGCAGGACCAATAATTTAAGTCGGGTTTCCGACTGAATAACACAACGTGCTAACCAGTGTGCCTATGCTCCACCCAAATGCCATAAGGTGTAAAACAACGTACTACATATTCCCTTGATTTGTTAAATACTGGCAGAGAATTTAAAATAATTGTTTTGACTGTGTCATGCACAAATGTCTCTGCAGCAGAGTATATTGGAAGATGTGCCTGATAGTGTTGGATAAGGAGTCAGTTGAAAGGGTCCTCAGATGTTCTGTGATATCACCTTCCAGAGACTGAATTCTAACAGAGCGATGTTACAATGTTTTTTTCTGAAAAAATTCCAAAGCTAAATATCTTCATCTCGTGATATGACGTAGACATAGCCATTCAAACGCTAATGGTAAAGGTGCAGCCCTGCAATTACTTTCTCACGCTAGTGTTGGCGGATAGCCCTCCACTTGAGGGAGCTCAAGGCCTACTCTTCCACGCTGGCCAGACACTTTGGAAGAGGCAAGAGTAGCCATAATTGACCCCGCCATACACCACCGAACTGTACCATTAAGGTGCCACAGTGGCGAGATGTTCACTCCCTCGCCTGGTATGCAGAAGCACGTGGGTTCGTTCCTAACCCTGACGCCTGCTGTGTATTTGGAGTTTGCGTGTCTCTTCTACCCGTTGTCGTTGGGATTATTCTCCTGGTCCTCTGGTTTTCCCTCTACATTTAGAAACATCTGTTTGGAGTATTTGGCTGCTATACATTTCTCAATGATAAACCACTTTGTAGAGCTATCATTTGTGGCAAGGTTGCTTCTGAAAAAGAGCTATATAGGTCAGTGGGCTTTAACAGCTAAAAAAACAAGTTTCGTTTTAAAATATGTGCGTCAAAAAATCCTCCCAAAAAACCTGAAAACGATTCCATAATATACTGTGGCCACTGGTAGTGCACAGCCAAGAAGCATTAATCATTTACAGAGCCTGGCCTGAGGGACGCAGGGGCTGGTATATTTAACTGAAGTATTTGCAATTGGGTTTAGTCAGGACCCTGAAGAGCAAAGTAATCTGGACCATCAGTCACAGCTGTGCCACTCAGTGGGGGAACTCAATCAATGGTATTGTGTGCCTTACTTGCAGGCCAGTAACAAAAAATAGGGCAATAGGCAAAGCAAGAAAGTGATGCCACTGAGTTCGGGGTCACCACAAAGGTTATACGAGTATCTTACTTTGGGGTGCTAATCAATTTTCGTTATTTTGACAAGACAGAATCAATTATGGGAGTTGAAAGGCCACAGATTTCATAATCTATTCCAGTTCGATTTTAGCAATTAACAAAATGACTGGGCATGCGCGAACCTTCAAACCACATCGTGTGTTCGAATGCGATGAGTGGCGTGACGACCCATTACGTACAAAGTGTGCCAAAAAATGACAGGCTTTGTCAGCCCACTGCCAGTTGAAGGCCTCAACATGCCGTGTCGGTCACAGGGCTCGCCTGAGTCCCACACTGACGCGAGTCAATGTATCGCATGAAAAGTAAAGTTATATTGTATTTTGTATATATTATGTTAAATTATGACGCGAGTCAGTGTGGGATCAAGGTTGGTAAAATGACGATCGCTTTTTTTTCATGCTTTTATTGATAAAAAAAAGCGAAAATTAACTTCTATTTCACTGCTGTGGAAAACAGATGGTAGCTGCACTGGGACATGAGGGATGATGGAAGCAGAGTAGGGAGGCCTTCATCCAACAGTGGATAAGACAATAGCTGATGATGGTCAATTGATGGTCTCTGCCGGTCAATGGAATATTAACAATAGCCCAGAGTGCAACTATGGTCACCAATCTCAAACCATGGGAAACAGAGTAACAACACTGCCTACTTGCATCATTTGCCAGGAGCATCATTTGATAAGACAGGATTGTTAAAAATCTTCTTCAATCTTGGGCCTGAAATAGGTGGCGGGATGTGATCAATATGCCGCCACAAGTGAGGAGGAAGTAACAGCAAGTGATGCCGAGAGGTCAATGTATCGCATTAAAAGTAAAGTTATGTTGTATTTTGTATATATTGTTAAATTATTCAAATGGCAGGCATCATCATTAACTGAACTTACCAGATGCTCGCCTTCCATAGCGGTTGATCACAGGCGCTGAAAAACATAAACAAGAAAGCAGAAGTCAATACAAGTTGTCGCAAATGTCATCTGCAAGAGATTATTGCCCACAGGAGAAGCATTTGCATGAACGCAAGAGGTGCCACGTTATATATGTCCACATATAGCGTAATTAGTTATATACTGCTGGACGGAGGCCTCCCCACACCGTGTCATTCATACGGGAAGGTCGCCTCGGCTCTAAATGAGTACCTGGTGCGATGTATAAAAAAACATCGCCGCTGGAGAGACAAAGGCGGTCGAGCGTGGCGGTGGCCACCCACCCCCTCGTGTATCATAGGTGCTCGCTGATATCACTTGCCCTACCAGTCTCTTAAAGGCTATGTGGGGGATCTTTACCATGAGGAAGCAGATCCATAGCCAAGTTCCAAGTTTATTTTATTTACATAGCCATGGAACCATAGATGTGGTTCTGTTGCAGCAAAGGCTCCGTCAGCAATTCTTCAATTGGGACGCAATTGCACCAACAAGATTCGACAAGTCACTGACCACAAATCTCACACTGGAACACAAACATTGTGGTCAACAAGACCAGATGAATATATCAAAAGGGCCCAGACTGTAAACGCAGACAGTTGCAGTCTGTAGCACAGAATATGAAAGAGGAGGAAACTTGCCCTCTGACCAGACCACACCTAAGACTCAGAGCACTGAACACTGCAGACGATGACGACCCTCAGCTAAATAAGTGTACAATAAAATAAACAAAAATACAGGTACTGACTGATAAAGCAGGTGGCATAGATGATGATGAGCGTTGTCGAGCAGTATGGTCTGATAATTTTCAGCTCTATGAGAAATTACAAAATTTCGGACCATATATTTCAAAAACACTTGATACGGGTAATCATTATAATAATCATAAAGTAGCTCACTGCTTTGGTCATAACCCTAACCCAATAATGGTTGCAATTCAAATACAAATATAATTTGTCCACTCTTCATTAAATGGGAGAAATGCTTATAAAATACCACGGTGATGTGGATTAAATTTCTGAAGCACCACCCAGCACTTGGACGAAAACATCGGACGTCGTGCCTAACGACAGACAGCGTAACCCTGAAAACACATCGGAGAGCTGTCCAGCACAAGTGCGGAAAACGTACAGCGACGGGACGAGCTGCTTGGCACTTGGATACCCAGAGGACAAGGCGGGTGAATCAAGTGAAATATGACATTGCCCAGCCACTAATTACGGCAGGTCACACGGGTGGCATCTCATTTTATATCCTGCCCACCATAAATCAATCGCGAGGCAACACTGTCGCACGCAATTTGCAGGAAAATCACAGCGCTGAGCCATGCAATCTGTACAAACGAACACCTTGAGCCCCGAGCATAATTACATTTTAAACAAAGGTTCCGTCGCGGATATATGTAAGCTGCTGCTAATGCCTTAAATGTCAAGACTATGTGTATGATAATACGTAAAGCATCTGCAAATAACACTTCCTTTCTAACTCTTCTTGTGCATGGCGTTTGAAAAACAAACACACTAAAATCGTATTTTTTTTAATTTTGGAAGCCATTCATTTCCACAGCATCCGGGGTAGCTCAGGGGAGTTCGTCGCTTGTTCCATCACAATACGCGTGTATTACTTGGCAGTCATCACTGATTGGCACCTCACCGCATCCAGTTTGGCGAGTCCTTGACCATTTATTTATGGAGGAAATAACTACACCTTCAATGGCTTGATTGGACACCGTTCAGAGTAAAAACAACATTCTTACTGGTTGGATTTCTTGCACTCCTATATCCTGGAAAGCTATAATGCAAACCTCGGTAAATAATGCATTCCTGGACCCATTGTTAAGTGGATTGTACCTTGTTTCTACCAGAAACCAATCTTCCCACAAAGCAATGTGAAAGCAACATTTTATAATTTTACTTTTAGGATAGTGTGTTTAGATTCGTTTTGATTATTGAAGGTTTTTGTCTGTGACTCGATAGCTACTATTAGCCAGTGTATGACCATGGTCATCCAGAACAGACCATACAGCATGTAACAATGTAATTCCGCCTGATCCACAAATACGAAGGAAACATCACAGCGATACACTGCTGCTCCTGACGCCGTTTTCTGGCTTTACCACCTGAATGTTAAATTGTAGTTGTTTCTCTGCGTCTACATCAGCCATACGAAATAACATTAGGTAACTATTGCTGTGCCGATTTAAAACAAACTTGTCATCAAAAAACATTGTTAAAATTAAATTCTCATCAGGCGCCATGGTGTAAAGTGAAGTCTCAGACTCTTATTATCCACTGTCTCTGGCCTCCCTAGGTATGTGCTATGAAAGAGGTCCATTGTTCGAAAAGTCGCCAAATATTTATTTTGTTCTTTTAAGGTGATATTGTCACTGGCAAACATGTCGAGTTTTTTGCTATTTGTCCTTGAGCCGTCACTGCCAACTCAGCAGCAGTATCACCAAATAAATTGTCTTGTTATGCCTCGGGGAGAGCCGTATATCTTGGCGGATCATTCAACAAGAAGTCTTCTTGGGCCAGATTTGGCTTGTGTGCCACCAATGGATGATCCCTCGTGTGAAGAAATTAAGAAATATTCAATAAGACCGATAGCATTTACAATGCAGTGCGGGAAAGACTTGTGTTTACGGGAAACATCCAAGGGCTTGCGCACTATGGTTGACCACGTTTGACGATACACCACACCCAGCAAGATGTTTAATTTATTATTTAGAGCAGCAACTACGCCGCCGTGCATTTAATCCTAATTGGCGCGCTGTATACAGTGAAAGGCGTGATGAAGCTCGTAACACCATGACTGTAATACATCTGATGATCTTGCTCTGAATACACGTTAATTACAGCAGTGTTCATTTTAAAACGACGTAAGATTAGACGATGTGATGACATAAATACTGTTTTGAGAGGTGGCTGGGTGGCTCAGGGTGCTAATTTCATGTCAGAGACACCGAAAGCTTAGGTTAAAATCCTGGTTTTGGCCACGTATGATTAAACTGGGTCATCTCAACATAATGTATATAGTGCCTTAACCAAGGCGCTTTACAGAAAATTAAGAACAGTACATGTGAATGTAATGGTGGAGATGAGGTGAATAAAATAGATGAGAGGAAGCAATGGGCGAATCTGTGATGGATGAATTCGGTGAAAGTGGAATTGATGATGGTAAATGATGATGAACGGATTGAATGAATGGGGAATGAGTGAAAGCCATGTAATAAGAATATGAAGAGGGAAAAGTAGTGGTGGTGGTAATGAGGGGGAGAATAAGGGGTCCGTGGGGTGAGCTAGAGAAAATAAGTGAGTTTTGAGTGAGGAGCAGAAACGAGTAAGGGAAGGTGACTGTTTAATGTGGAGAGTTCCAGTGTATAGCCGGTTGATAAGTTTCAACCTGGCCACTGATGACTGCAACAAAAAACACCATCACTTTGAAGTTAACTTTAACTTAATTTCATTCGATTAAGTTCTGAAAATTTAAATTTCAGTTTCATAGCCACGTGAAAAACACCCTTGGAAGGGCATAAAACAGAGGTGTGTGCTTCAAATTGATTCTTGTTAAGATTTCTGAGCACAGGCACAAAGGCCCAAGCGGCCAGAAACAAACAGCACTCTCAAAGTTGTAATAAATTGAAGATTAACGTGTTTCTTGAATTAAGCTAGTTTATATGAATTTGGGGAATGAGACAATGGGGAAAAATTGCAGTTGTCAAACCAGTTGCCAAGGACGAAGCAGGAAGAGAAGGAAGAGAAGTTATTTGACCTGCAGTGTGGTGAGTGGGTAAAAGTGGGTGAGTGTGTTGTTGTGGTGGTTTAATACAAACTGGATGAGACAAAACAGTCCGTCTGGTAAACTGAGTACTCAATATGGGTAGAGGAATCAACAATTGAAGTTCACTGGAACAGTAACCATAGTAGTAACGATATAGGAGTGATAAGGAGGTGACTGATCCTCAGCGAGTGAGGCAGTGGCGTGAACCAGCGATAGCTGGACCATCAACCAATCCGATTGCTTATTACGTTGAGTGTGGATAGAACGGCCCGGTTGACATGACACACTGTGGGTTTACTTTCTGAAACAGTGTGGTGCACTGCTTGGACTTCAAGAATGCGCGAAGGAAACGTCTTCATTTTCACGACACGGCAACAAGGTCGGACCATCGCTAGGAGAAAACACAAACAAGAATGAACAACAGAAATCGCCCAGGTTTGTATGTTCTTATGGTCGCACAACATGAATAATAATTAGCAAAACAACAAACTTGCTCGCCAATCGATTCGAATAAAAAGAGCTAAGCGCAACAAAAAACGTGTTTTTACGAGCTTCCTGTAGCCGAAGCAAGGTTACCCAGGAAAGCTAGTCAATGGCCCATGCGGGAGTTGTACACTTTTACATTTATACATTGTGCCTACTGCAGCTTGCATGTAGAGGTGGCAGCAAATTATATGACCTTCTATTTTAAAGCAATGGAGCACACACCCTTATAACGTAAATGATTAAAATAGTTCAGGTTTGTCAAGATCAGTGTAAACTATGCTAAATAAAACAATAATGAAGATGCACTGGGTGGAGTGGTGGCACAGTACGACTACGCTATAAAGCCGAACCTGAAGTCAATGTATTCAATTCCCGGCCTCGGCCAACATCAGTGGGGAGTGATCTCTGAAATAGTACCAGGCACACACCCTCCCTACTCCGCCTCCCTCCACTTCACCAACCTGCACTGACCAGCTCAGTGAAGCGTGGCCAAAACATCATGATTACCGACAAAGTGGCGCCGTGGTTGGTGAGATGTTAACTCTGTCGCCTGGTATGCAGAAGTTCGTGGGTTTGATCCGGACCCTGACGGCTGTATATTTGGAGTTTGCGTGCTCTTCTCATGGTCGTGTGGATTTTTCTTCGGGTCCTCCGGCTTTTCCCTCCACATTTAGAAACGTACGTTTCAGTATTTGGCTGCTATAAATTTCCACATGATAACCCACTTCGGTGAG